TTTGCGAAGATCATATAAAATCGGTCTGTGTAAACATATAATATAAGTATGCAAATTAGATTAAAAGCGTATGTTTATAGGTGGCATAGAGGTACTACATTGTGTTTCACTGTACATTACCACAATTTTTTTTTGATTATGGATTAGTCAGCTAAACAAGTTTCTAAATCATGTCTTATAGAATTCAACTGTGTTTAAATATTGGCAGCGTGTACATATACACATTCGAATCTCAGGTTTTTCTGTACATTTATACGTATAAATTTCTTAACTTTAAAGAATCTTCACGGTTATTGATCCATGTGTTTCATTGAACCATTTTTGCTGTACTATCTCAACATTCTTCACGGAAAATTGCAAAACATGGTTAGTTTTTCCACTGCTTATTTGTCTACTATCGATAGTACATCGCGTGACACAATGCCATCTGACCTGAAGTGTAAATCAATCCCTTATGTGATATTTCGCCTTTGTATCCTTCGAAAAATAAATAATATTTGGTTGAAAACCAGTTATAAAAAAAAAAGTGTACTAGTGAATTTTACAACTCAAAGACATTGTAACCACCGAAACCGGCTTGTTGTAGCCTGAACGCGAGAAATCGATTATCGTGTCCTGCTGCATAGTTGACCAAAACACCCTGAAACACGCACAGTTACCAAACGCTCTAAAAACAGCAAAACAATCCTTATTCACTGTAAAATTTATGGTTCTATTCAACAGTCAGAAAATCAAAACTCCAAATTACCTCAACAGCACCGTTAATCAGACATATAAGTTAAATATAAGACGAAATTGAACCAAATATGCTTCACTACACTCAAGTAGAGCCACCTAGGATGGTGTCCACATTGCAAACCTGACTGACAGAATTCGGTGTGCACGAAAGAAAGGACTAGACACGTCATATTAGTTACTAGTGTGCAATCAAAATACCCGCTACAGTCCTACAGGGAGTAAATCGCTAGCCCGAATAGCTCAGTGGTAAGGTCTCTGACTGCAGACGGCACTGTGTGACGCGGGTTCGAATCTCAGAAAGAGATGAGTTCCTCCAGGGTTGCATAAACGCCACGCTGGTCACTGAGTGCCAACTAGCATGAAACCTAGGTCCAAGGCTTCCTGTGGTGGATTGCCTCCAGCTATCTAATATCACCAAGAGTATACACGTATATGCCATTAATTTCAAATTTCAGACTGACATTATTGCCATGGATTCGTTATAGAAATCACTTAGTAATTTATTAAAAACAAATCTAAAATCAACAGAAAATTGAATTGAGAATGTGCAGTTATGAAGTTATTAATTTAAATACAGAGGGTTTAAATTGAATTCAATTCTATTGACGGTGCGATAACAACAATTGTTTTCATTCGGTCGTACTTATCGTTCGATCAATGTTTCAATGGGTTTCAATTCATATAATGTCAGAATAACAAAGGACACATTTATAACCACCTAAGTGACACAAATTGCCCTGCGAAACTGATCTCTGAATGTGCTGTAACTATTTGTAATAGTAGTATTAGTATTTCGCAATGACCGAATTACAAGAATTCAACCAAAACACAGAGAGGGATGAATTTAGGAATTTGTATTTGGCGGAATTATTTTTCAGTTCATATAAGAAACATATTAACAAGCAACAGTAAGTATTTAAACAATACAGAGATAGAAACTGTCAATCACCACATCCACCACACCTCGAATGTCTCCTTGCGTATTTATAACGATGTCTCGGTTTGCTTGCAAGTAGCTGCGACCTAACTGATTCTGTGATATTATTTTCATCAGTATCATCTGGACTTATTTCTGAATTATCTACAAAATTAGGATTAGTAGCGGAATCATTAAAATTATAATCGGAGCGACCTACTTCATTTATTTTCACTTTGTCCAGGTGCCTGTTATGAACTGAGTGATCTTTGATATCTAATATCTTCACCATTCGATTTCCCATTTTTTGTAGTATGATTCCAACAGAAAGTCTATAGTCATTCCCTCTGTAATAATGTACATTAGAAGTCGTGGACATCAGATGCTTTCTGAAAATTTGAGATTTGAATAGTTTTGTAGGACTTTCATGGGTACTCGTATGCTCTGCATTCAAAAAACGCAATCTATGCATATGCAGCAATTCCTCCGTTTTAATCAGTTGCTCTCTCGTCTCAGTCAGCTATTGACGAATGGACAACCAGCCAGCGAATCTTAAAATGTGATAAATTTCAGAGCAGTTTTCATCAAAGACAGCCAGAAGTTTAAAAAAATACCATGGAAAATTAGAAGCATCTGCTTTGGTTTGTCCTTGAATATATCAGTACTGCACACCTAAAAAGTGGAGAAATATGTGGCGTCTTTCTGTGGAAAAATCGTCATTCAGTCAATAGGTCAAACAAAACCAAAGAATGTGTAGTTTACAAATTTCACAAAAGTGCCAAAAATAATTATTATTATTGAATTGAACTAATAGATTTTCCCGTCGATTGATTGAACCAAAGTGCTCGATCTCAGGTTGACATATCTGTTGGTTTCTTGTGCAGATGCTTCGACGATGTCTGGACATGTAATTAGAAGTTAATTGGTGGATGGTGAATATGGGTAGTGAGTTCAGGCCTCGGTGGGAATATCATCACTCACTGCGGAATGCAGGTACATCCGGATGATGAGTCCCAAATAGGACGAAATGCGCATCCTGGATTCCACTGCTAGTCCCCGTTCACCAATTAACCCCTGTCATTATCATTATTCGTCCTTTGCGTTTCAAGTAGGACATAGCCCTTCAACGATACATCTCTACTTTCTTCTGTCTCTAAATTTGCCACCAACTTTCATTTACGCTTGACACGATCTTCTACATGTTATCTGCAGACAATCAACTAGTTACTTCCTGTCCGGGTTGATTATGAAATCAGTTGGAATACTGTCCTGATTGTATTTGAAGGAAGACAATATCAGGTTACCGACTGCTGATGGTTAGAATGACACCATTAATACCTCTTCTGCTTATGAGTGGTGCAATAAGTATCTACATACATTTGTTCATTTCAGATAATCAGAAAAGAAGCTCCAATCAATCTACTTTTTGTGCATATCGACGCTAGCCACTAGTGTCTACCGGTTGCATGAGCTGCCTGAAACGTCACCATCAAGTCTAACACTCGAAGTTAGCATTGATCCCGTTTAAGACCATAACAGATACACTAAGTGATCAATTTGAATAAAACAAGAACAACAGAGGTTCATGCTGAATAAAATGGTACCATCGTTTATTTCTTTTTGGATTCTCATCAGCTGCTTACAGCCTAAGGATATGATTAAGTTTATGTACAGGAGCAATTTTTAGTATACTTACACAAAGCGTTCATTTTTAAACGAAAATTCAATGCATGCATACAATTGTAATAATAATCACTCAGAATAGAATCTTTCGGCGTTACGTAATCAAAACATCCAGTTACGAGGGCAAAGAAAGACTGGTAACCACTCCTTTCTGAACATATAAATAGGGTTTCAGGCACTTTAAGGTGATTGCTTAGGGAAATTAGAAGAGAACTGAGTTATTTTTGTTTGTTGATAATTTTAAACAATGCTACGAGTCCCACCTCATGACCTGTGTCAAGGCGATGCCTGGCAATGGCACTGTTGAAAGCATTTTCGATACAAGTTCAGAAAATTGGAGGTGTGCCCTTCTTTATGTTGTTCTCCCAGCGCAACTTCTATGGCAGAAACATGTAAATTTATATACGCAGCTGAAGTTAGCTATGATTGCACCAGTGTGCATGTTGTTCGAAAGATAGCCAGAGCCAGGATAGGCTCTGACGGTAATCGTTGTTTATCAAAATCTTTTCGAGAAGAATCATAAGCTCTTCCTCTAGCTTGTTTACAGAACGTATTCTCCTGACTCCATGGAACAGAGTTTCTACTAGTACTCGTTTATAGCTATTTGATGAGTAATGTATGTCACCTTAGCTAAACACTGTTATTAATAGATATTCATTATTCACACTTGTATGTATGCTTATTTTATTTTAGTTTCATCGAATCTCGGATGAAATCTCAGCACGGATACAGACGCTAAGTTTCGCATATGCCACTTTACGCCATCTCTGGCTTAGTAGACGTGATATCCGGCTGGTATCGACCAGAGGGCGTGTGAGCTGCTCAGCATTCCGCTCCATCCTCCTTTATGGCGGGTTATGAGACCTGGCCACTGAGAGTGAAAGACATGAAGATACTGGCTAGCTGTGTTTGATCATAGGTGCCTGCGTTCTATTTCTCGTGTGAAGTGGTATAGTGGGGTAAGCAATACTGAGGTTAGGCGTCGAGTTCAAAGTGAGTAGGGGAAATCAGTAGATGAGACTGTGAAGCAGCATCGACTAAGATGGTTAGGACATGTGTTACGTATGCCCGGTCATCGACTTCCTCGACAATGGGCAATGTTAGCTGACATAGGATTGGTCAGGCTGGAAATGAGCTAGCGGCGGTCAAACTAAAACATGGCATCAGTCAATGAAAATCCACAACAGTTAGTTTAAGTCAGCCACATAGGAAGATGTAGACTGCCTGACTGATTGGTTGGGGTCCTCAGAAAGGTGGGAACCAATAACCGCTAGAAACAATCAGTGATATGGCTGAAAATCGTTGTCACTGACAGGCGCAAATGCAACCACTCCTTGAGACTTATAATTTCCAATGAAACTATATTGTTCTTTGTTAGTACTATTCATTTTGTGTCATATCCCTGTCTACTATCTCTATAATGCATTTCTTTTACTTTCTTCTCTTGCTTTGTATGCTACACGGAGGGAGTGTGGCGACTTGAACTGATTCACATCGGTGCAAAGTTCTATTTCGAAAATAGATAGATAGATAGATAGACAGACAAACAGACAAAATGAGAAGGTAGTGCGTATTTTTGTCTTAGACTTTTACTATATAAACTAGTTTATTGATATACAGTTTATTGATCTAAAAGATAAATGACACTTTACAATTTGCAATTTTATAACATGTGATGTACATCAGACGATAAAGTAGACAGTTCAACAATTTGATTGGTTGTTTACTGCATGCATCTAACGAGCAATTTCATTGGTCGATTTATCCACCATGAATAGATTCACTGATCAACATTTATTTATTTTTTTATTCACTTCAAATTCTTAAGTTATGTAAATAAAAGAGAGAGAGAAACAAGGTATTTTATGATATCTCAAGATATATAAAGCTACTTGATGTATTCCACATGATGGGAAAAACTCAGCAATCATGGTTACTATGGTCAATCTTAAGTTTATTTTATTATCAATGTAATGCTAAAGATCATATTACTGCATTAGTAAAAAATCAATATTTTCATAATACATTCGATAAAAAATATGACGATTTTGTCAATTCCCTGAATCATTTAATCGCTAACAATGTATACAATAACTTAACTCTGCCTGCAAAAGAATCCACCTGTTCAAAGGATCTTCGACATCTTATCAATGGAATATTTCAAAGAAAGATTTGGGCATTACAATGTTTGGTTTTCTAATAGTTTCTGGATTAATAGTCTTTTTTATTCAGGGTTAGATGCTTCAGTACATCCACCACCAGGAATCACGGGAGGTGCAATGCATTGGATGGGAAGTTATGATGTCTGTCTTGAATGTAAAGGATATAATTCATCTGGTGAGGAACAATTTCGTGGTTCATATTGTACAATGGTGTTCTTTTTGAATATCTCTGTACCAGTTGTTCCGGTAACATTACCTACATATTGCATAATAAGGCTTTCTGAAATTCGTTTTTTATAGGAATTAAGTGCAACAGTTGGATTATGCATGCCTAATTCGTGTTCTAGTGAAGAAGTGAGAAATATTGTCAATGCAAGTAAGGGTGGATTTAAATTATCGATTAATTTATATCTATACCAGCATCATACTTATTCTTTGCTGAAATGCTTCAAAATGAAAGCTTCTGTCATCGACCTGTTTCAGAAGTTAATAAGGATGCATGGTATTACATAGCTGTGTAAGTTTATAAGTAATGATTACAGTTTATTTTGACTATGATTAATTATGATTGGTTGAGCAATTTATGCCTGTGTTTATGTCATTATCAAATAAGACAGCTTATTCAATAGGGTTTGACTTCCGTTTGCAAGGCATAGAATGTGTTAAATATCCAGAATTTACCAGATGCTCTGTTATCGAACTGTTTACCCCCTTTTACGTTCTCACTTTTTCCTATCCATGCTGGATAGTGTTCACGCGCGCGTTTTACTAGCAGACGCATGGTACAGACGATGTACTCAGCTCCACACAAGCGAGTAAACTTGTATATGCATATTGAAGTGGCCCAATGCGACAGTTTGTCTTTCACGTGTTGGGTGACTAGTTTCTTGCAGGAGAATGTTACTCTTAGGCAGCTGGCGGTGAAGTATGTTTTATTGAGAGATTTTGAAAGCCGTCTACAGAGAATTTCTGCTTCGATATCACTTTTAAATTCGAGATTCAATATCAGCATGTTTTTGAGGGCGACTTGAACCTTTTCAGGTGTTTCCATTGGTTTTTGAGATTCTCGTCTATGAATCTGGATGGGAGTCCATTTTCTATCAAGGTCCCACGAAGATTTTTTTATTCTTCATCGATTGACTCTTCAGTGGAAATCTTCCGCATCCTCAAAGAAAAAGAGTACATAAGGCTTCTCTTTCTGCTTAAAGGCATAGAGCTTTGAAAGTTAATAAACTATCCATTCTATGTGTGGGCTTTCTGTACATGGATCTTCATAGCGTGTTAAATGTATTGTGTCATTAAGCAAGCATCTCTTCACTATCTGATTGTTAAATTTATGGAATATAAGACCCATTCAAGACTCGAACTGTTAGCACTTAGATATATAAAGTTTACAGGATTAATTAGCTTTTCCTATTTTATTCCTTGACGTTCCCAGTGGAACATAGGGCGCCTTGAAGCTAGAGGCTTGAAGTTTCTGTCGCAGTGGTGATTATTTTTACAGGATGGAGGTGCTAGCCACATGCCCAACCTTACCCTCTTACCAGTCTTATTACTGGCTCAGCGAGGTAAAGGAGTGCACTGGTGACCGGGGATCGAAATCCGGACCACATGTACCTGATTGGCGAGCATTCTACCTCTGTGCCACCGACAAGTAAATAATCAGTAGTTGATGGAAATTCTCAATGAAACCACTTCTTATTTTTTAAATTTTGAACACTTTCACCAATCTTTACTTTATTATTATTATTTTTTATTTTACACAAACTAACCAACTACTTTTGATTGTAAATTTGTTTGGATAATAGTAGATGTTATCGAGTGGGTGTTACGCGAAATTGAGGGTTAATTCTAATAGATATTTAGATTTTAATTCATTATGACGATCAGAAAAGGTCGAAAGCAAAGTAAAAAATATTGAGGAAGCTAATAACTATAACATAAATAAGAGAGAATATAAGGCATCTACAGTTCTACCATATAAAGGGGTAACATCTGAGACCCTACGTAAGATTTTCATTAAAGCAGGAATTAGGGTGACATTTGAACTCACTCAGGCAAGACAAGCTGAATAAGTTAAAGGACCCTGTTGGTTGACCCAATCAGATAAAATAATATAATTTACAAAAGACCTTACAATGACTGTGAGTTAAGTCAAATACATAGGTCAAACTAGTAGATCGGGAGTAGTTAGATTGTCAGAGGTAAGATAATAGCTAAGGTCAGAATAATTGATCTTACCCGCGAAAATAAGTAATTTAGAAAACACTCAGCTATAGCACCGCATGCATTAACACACAACCACACAATATGATGGGTGGGGCAGAGTCAAGATTCTAAAACGTAATATAGGTAGGTGGAGCAAGAGGGAGGTTGATTACTGGATCCTTCCTGGTTCATCGAGTCTATACCCAACAGGTGCAATATGAATCACTCATCACTCATACCGAAATATGGAAAATACTACTACCAATCACCAAGTCAAGCGATGAAAAATAATGATGGGAGCAACAATAAATTGTGCTCAAAAAGCAGTCATCAATAAATATTACTGTATAACACTGTGAGAATTAATCAAAATAAATTTTACCCATAATGGAATTATACTCTGCCACAGTGCACAAGTTCTATTCTCATATAACTTTACTATCTGAATGAGACAAAGCAACTGAACTGCCAGCATAACAATTTCGAAAAATAATAACTAAAATATGCTTTGCTAAAAAATTGTGTTTAAAATCCGCCACTCGTCGACTGATTCTAAGCAGATGAATGATAAACTACCAAGTCTAGTCGCTTTAGTCTGCATTTATCATTTTAACTGTTCATGTGGAGAGACTTACATAGGCAGAACGACTCGACAAGCTCACCATCGCCTTTCTGCAGCATTGTCCAACGTGGTTACGCAAAGGAGTTGTAAAGTCTGTGAGAAGTTTGCTACTAGCACATATAGTGGATATGCAGCACAGGATTGACAAGAATTCAGCTATTACAATCCTATGCAAGGTGTCAACTTTGAGTCCATTCCCTAGGTTGGTACGTCTTTCATTGCATAGCTTTTTCAAGCCAATCTCTGTGTTTAGAAAAGGTTTATTTGACCTCACTCTGCTTCCCTTGGCCTTCTCCCTCAAACAAAATAACTGTCTATCTCAGTGACATCGGATAAATGTAAATATTATCCCATCACATTTTTATTTTATTTTATTTGTAATGCTGACTGTGTAATTAATATCACGCGGTGCTGTAGTTGTAAAGTTTAATCTCGGTTTCACAATCTATTATGATTATCATCATTAGTATAATAACAATTTCCAACAACTCCTGACCAACCTTGTTTATGAAGCTGTCGATCGAAATGTTTCAGGCTAGTCTGTAGTTATCAGAATGGCGAATTGGTTATCTTAAATAAATTCCACGTTTTTATCAAAAATCTAAACTTATCTCATAGACGAATGAAGTCATTGATCATACCAGTAATCCATTCTGGTGGTCATTTATTTATTTATTTATTTTTTTATAGCTTGACTACACACAATATTTTCGTACAACTATAGAATTATCAGAATGTGATATCGGTAGCCTAAATTTAACAGGTCGACCATTTGATATCCGGTGTGAGTCAGCCGGGGATCGAACCCCCAGACCATGTGCATGGTTGGCGAGTGTTCTAACCTCTATGTCACCGACGCACACTGTATATGGATTTTCACCACGAATGAATAAAGCGTAAGTAATTTTCGGTGGATGATTATCGCTGGTTTTCTAGGCCTCAGTTGTCTTCAGGGAAGTATTTCACACTTGTAAGAATAATTTTATGACGCTGTGATGGATAAAAAAGTATATCAGAATACTTTTCTATGAGCAGCTCCAGGTGAGAAATCGACGGAAGTACTGGACAAGTTGATCAGTATGTCATAAAATATCTCCTTCAATATTCAGAATTAACATGTGTTCAGTGTATTTCATCGATAAATACCACATACTCGATGAAACTGAAGAATACACGGAGATTGGTCTTACCTCATGGAATCTTCGGATTTTCAACACCAATATCAAATCACTTCTTCTATATGGGTTAGAAACTTGACCGATGAGTCACGAGTAGCATTTCCAAAAGCCTGGTACAGACTTTTACCAACACCTGCCGCCTTCGCAAGCACCATTGTGAAGATCAAATATCCAGCTGATCAGAGAGAATTAGCAATAAGAAACTATGAAAACAAACTAACCAAGAACCTATAATAATAATAACAGCTTTATTCCAAACGGTATTTGTGGTACAGGTATGGAATTTTCAGCGTGCATTACAGTATATTGCATCTAATTACCTCATAAATTTTATAAGATTTTCAAAAATCAAAGATAAATAAATAAAAATAAAATAAATAAGTTATAAATAAATAAAATAAATAAAATTAAAAATTAAGAAAAAACAGCGTGGAGTATTACATTTCAAACAATGCACCACAGGATTTGAAATATAAAGTTGATGTGTGATAGAAGATGAGAACAACAGTGTAATAGTAATGAGGAAAGGAAAACAAAAACTAATGGGACTATTTGTTAGAGTGCTGCAGTAAGTTTATCGTGTCATACCTAACGGATTTCTCATCACATAACAGCTGTGCCAGATATGGTATTGTGGAGTTTTTGTATTTGGTAGTCCTAGCATATAGCCTCCTGTAGCTGCTTCTAGTTCTTCCAGATGAAATGCAAGGAGATAGATGCGTATAGAGAGGATGCTCGGGGTCCGACAATATTGTATTCGCTAGTTTCTTACATGACATAATATGTCTATCTACAATAGTGTTCACCAGTTGGTTTAACGATATCCCACTTGCCCTACTAACAGCTTTCAGTGCTCTTCTCAGCGAAGCAAAGTCTTTCTTAAGTAGTCCAGGAAAGACTAATGGGGAGCAGTAAAGGAGGATGGGTAGAATACAAGAATTTACAAACTGAGAAAGTAAAGACTGGTTTATGCCAGACTGCCTAAATTTCCTAATGTAGAACGTTAAGCGAAACATCTTTCTAGTAACTAGCAAGATGTGGGAAGACCAGGAAAGATCGGTGGAAAAACTCAGCCCAAGGTACTTGACATGAGATGTATTTTCAACCTCTGTGCCGTCAATGAGAGTGGGGCCATGTGAGCTAACTAGTTGCTGTAGGTCACATTTACGTCTGAAAGTGAAACTGACTACCTGACATTTAGACGGATTAAGCTTAAGTTCGTTTGAAGAGGACCACTGACTAATTTCCGACAGAAAGTTATTTAATTTGGAACAATCTGACTGAGAGTTGACAGGCATAGAAACCGAGAGGTCATCGGCATACTTAACAAAAGTGGCCACATCAGAATGAGGCAAGTCATGTAAGAAAAACGAAAACAGAAAGGGAGAAAGAACAGTCAGCACCTTGAGGAACACCAGCTAAAGTAAGTGAGGTAGTGGAGAAGTGACTCAATAAATATGTTTATGAGAATATGGAGATGGATTGGCCACACGCCACTTCAGAGAATGA